GCATAGATTTTTGTTACGGAAAATGCTCATCTCCTAAAAAAATAATCTGAGTAAAGTCTGAGTATGATTTTAAAAAATTTTTTATAGGGATAGCAGAATTAATGAATTTAATCACGTGCTGCTGTATCGGTAGTTATCCTCCACCCGATTCATATTCGTGGCACCTGATCCATTTTTGTGACAGCAAATCGTTACTTTAATAAGACTTTAATATAATAAAGCCCGTGGTTGTTGATTCAGATCATCAGATTGATCATGATTGGGTGGTAGATCATGCCTTCTTAATATTATAAAATCGTACAAAAATTCTTTTTTTGGAATAATATTGCAACTCTGGTTGTTCGTATAACCAGGTGATATTTTTTTACCAGTACATCCTTCAAGTTCTAAAGTGCCATTAAATGCTTCAGATCTCTATAGATCAAATAGGAAAAGGTAGGTCACTTATACATAAAAACAATAAAAAATATGAATTTTTTACTAATTATTTTAGTTAAACTGAAAACTTCGTAACTCTCACGGTTATTCAAATCATGACTTTTTTTTATTTTACCAACGTTTTATTCAACATTTACTATGCGAAAATAATCTAGCATGATCTTAAAATTAAGGGACTTTGCTTAGAAGACAAAATTTACGAACTATGCAAAGTAAGGTAGCTAGAAATGTTTTCTTGTTTTAAGCTATTTTGTTGCGTTAGATTCCAATATACTTTCATTGCTAACTATTTAGTTTTAATAAGTACAAACTTTTTAATGGCAATAGATTTTAATGGCAATAGATCTGGGTTTATGTTTAGATTTGGTCGATTTTTTTTTGTAATGTGTTTAGAGATGGACACTATGTAGCATGGTGCTTAATTGTTGCATGATTAAAATTATGAAAATCACATCGGATGTTAATTTTTACATAACTTATATATAATATGTGATGATTAATCACTATGCTGCATAGTGCCCGTCTCTAAATGTGTTGGATTTACTAACTGTACGTAAATTTAAAGTTTTGGTTTATACTGTATATTGTTGCATTATATAAATTCTTTGATAAGTTCATAATAAATATTACATTTACCTACTTTACGCGTATCTATTTATTCTTTAAATACATACAATAATAGATTTTGTATATATTTGTAATTTGTAGGGTTTTTCTATTCGTTTTTAGAACGATAAATTTTTAAAAATTATCTAATCAATTATCACGGGTAATCACGTGTAGATCAACTACCCCAAGAACACCTCAAAAAATCAGCCAATCAGATTTCGAGATCAGGTGTAACGTGAAATCAAAACAATCAAAACAATCGGAATAAACAAAAAATTTAAAGTAATAAAACCTCAACACTAGGGTTAGCTTTAGGGCGAGGTTAGAGCATAGCATATACCAAAATTTGGCGAGGAATTTTTTTTGTTAGAACACAAAAGGCAGTTTCATAGGCAAGATTTTGAGCTACAAACGATTATTCAAAAAGTGCATAATTTCACGTTACACCTGATCTTGAAAGCTGATTGGTGCGCAGAATTTTTGGAGGTGTTCTTGGGGTAGTTGTGTAGATCACACAAATATTGACCAATTAAAACAAACTTCCAACATGCTGAGCTAATATCTGTTTGATTTTAATATACAGTATTATTCGATTAAGCAGATTTGTTAGTAAAAGTTATATGTTCTAAACATTGTATTCATGACATTAGGAATGTTAAGTGATTCACGAAGGACTGGGTGATAAAATTTGTTACTACTACGTATTTTTAAAATTCAGAAATGTAAACGATTTTGATTGGTTAGTTGCGAATTCCGTGATCACTATTGTGTAATGTGTAATGTCGTTGTTGTAATGCTAGAGATTAATATGAAATAAGTAACACTCATAATTACATCTGCGAATAGTATCAGTAGGTTACCAGTGCGATCATATGAAATGTGAGAGAGAATGTAATATTTTTTTGCAGATTTTGATATGTTTATAATAGATCATTAATATTGCATAGTTTATTCGTCATAAGTCATCAATTCATCAATGGCGAATGTTTCGTCATTCATCAGGCATCATTAAAACACACCCGTCCGGTTTAGACAATACACTTCCACCCACAACAAAATCATATCAATGACAACGGCTCCGATGACGAAAACTCTGACAGCAAAATACCAACGACAAAGGCTTCGAAAGTGCATTATTCAACATCATCAGATAAAAAAACAGAAGCAGTTACTGCGGTTTCAATGATGAATGCTCCGATCATAACGGCTCCAGCGACAAAGACTACAATAGCGATGACTTCAATGACAATACTTCGAAGGCTCGGCTCTAATAACGACTGAGCTACAACTGGAAAAATAAAAACAAAATGTTAGTTTGAAAAATGAATTACAGCTGTTTTCATAAATTTTGTGATGCTAAAAATTTTCTCTTTTCCCGAAACATTTTCGTTATCGTTTAATAATAATCAACCTTTTACAGAAACTACACCATTATCCTCGAAACATAAAGACAATGTTGTAGTTTCTGACAATTAGATTATTATTAGGACAAGATCGAAGAGATCTCGGAAAACAAGTAAATTTCAGATGCCCCAAAATTTATGAAAACGGAAAAAAAGGAGTAAAGGGGGAAAAAAAAGTGAAAAAAGCAAAGAGAAAAATAGAAAAAGAATAAAATAAATGGGAAATGGAAGAAAGTGAAGAATGGAAAGGAAAAAAGAAAAAAAGAGTGAAAAAGAATGAAAAAAGAGTGAAAAAACTAAAAAAAAAAGGAAGAGAAGAACAAAAAGAGCGAAAAAGAAAATAGTGAAAAAAGAATGATAAAGGAAAATGAATAAAAAATATAAAAAGAACGAAAGAAAAGAAAGAAAGGGAAGAGAGCGAAATAAGACAAAAGAGAATGAAAAACAAAAATGACTGAAAGAAATAAGATGAAAGAAAATAAAACTAAACAATGAAATAGGGCAAAGAAGAAAGGAAGGAAAAAGACAAAAAAAAGCAAAGCAAAGGATTAAAGAAAAAGAAAACAAACATCATGAAAAAAATGAAAAAGAAAAAAATAGAGAAAAAGAAGAATAAATAACGGGAAGGGGAAAAAATAAGCATTGAATACTTCTATTGAAATGGCATAGGAACGTTATACCGTTTTATATACTACGGTTTTCTAATTTCAACCCAACTAAACATAAATTCTGGACAATGCTAGTAAAATATTTCTTTTTACCTGATGGTCTGTTCTCGGGATCGTAATTTTTAACAAAAATATCTTGGCAACTAATTTTTTTATTTTGGTTATACAGTAAACCATTTTTACTACGGTAATTTTAGATAGATAGTTTTCAAGCTTTTTTTGCTCAAAGTTTGGATAATTATAACACGACAGGGTGAAACCCGCGCTGTGGATTAGTAAAATCCGCTACGTAGATCATATGAGGGTGAAATTCGCTTTTGCATAATAAAAAACATAGCTAAGCGCGGATTTCACCCTAACGTAATCTGCGTAGCGGGATTTTACTAATTTACAACGCGGGTTTCACCCAGTCCTATTATAACTGCTCATAAAAATTCGCGGTCTCGTGATGATCTATGCTAAAATTTCATTGGCCAAAAATAAGCCGCAGAAGGTGGTAGAAAGGGCACTGCATATAGCAAAACTTTGCAAGGAATTTTTCCTCTAAGACGCACAAAGTGGTTTAAAATCACATGTCCGCGACATTTTATACGTTGCTATGTATAATCTTTTAATGAAGATACCGTGACTTAAGTTGGCACCCGACTGACCCACACGGACTGCGTAATTATAGAGGACGACTGTATATGAAATCGCACACCCCAATGCCTTATGTTCATTTCGATTCATCTTTCATACCCTATTAAAAATTAAAATTCTTATTCAAACTTTGTCTAAAGAATATTTTTAACAATAACCAGTAGTAATCATCACCAGAGTGTTGTATCTCAAAAACCTACTAGCCAACTCACGCCAGGGATACTAAGTAAAAATGTTCAGAACCCCAAAACACCTAACTCTAATTTAAAACCTGAATCTTTATGTCTGACTCTACCTTACTCTAAAAATTGTACTCTAACTCTAAAAACAAGGATGGTGATAATATCGTTGGTGCTGTTGAGTATATTTCTTGTTTAAATTACTATTTTTCATTTTTCTTAACAAAAATCTCTGAATATTTTTAATTTTCCCGAAGATTTCTAATTTTTCCGAGTATAATTTTATACAGAAAAAAAATTATAAGCAGGAAATTAGAAATCTTCAGGAAATATTCAGAAATATATAGGTTTTTTTACAATATATAGATTTTCGTTAAGAAAATGCTCGCTTTTAAAAATAATAATCCGAAAAGTCTGAATAAGATTTTTTTTTTTTATCGGTGATAAAAATAGTAAATTGAATAAAATTGGTAAACAGCAAGTAACAAAACACCAAAATGCACAAATTTACGGTACAACTAAACATAGGATTAAAATATATAATTGATATTTTCTTTATATATATCAAATGAAACCAAGAATGTACGGATCAAAAGAAATTGAAACATACAACATGCAAATTAAAGTACTGTGTTGTGAAAATTAGAATGTGTTGAGAATATGCTCGTAAAAGGTGTAAAGAAACTTAAAGTTGAGCTTGCAAAAATGTAAATGTG